AAAATGTTCAAAATTGATTTGTTGGCATCACATTACAGCAGCTGTACCAGTGTATCTAGCTCAGAACCATTACATATGTTTAAGGAAGGAAGCTACCAGCCCAAGAAAATGAATGTAATGAAACAGTAAAAAGGGTTATAACAAAGAAAATATAATGCAGTAGAAAAAATTGTGTGGTTCTGTTGCTGTGGTGGTTCAATCCCAACTGCTCCAGTTTGGTTTGGGCAAGATATTGAATTTAAGTTTCCCTCGATGCGTCCATAAGATTGTGAATGCTAGACAAAGTCTAGTCTTGTTTGAATGAATGTGTGATTGGGTGAATACAGCTTGTAATAAAAAGTGCTTTGAGTGCTCAGAGTAGAAAAGTGCCATAAAAGTCCAAGTCCAAGTGATAAGATTTTGTGGAGGCAGATAAGTGATATGTAAACAATGTTTTAGAAGCACATTTGGGATTTTACAGAGAATAAAATTATCATTAAATCATCACTAATTATCAGAGGACAGAATGACTCTTATAGATGCTTATAAGATGGAAATGGTGGTATTTTGATCATTTTTCTTCAAACTGGCCATGACTGTGTTTGGGTGAGCTAATGCTTGTGCTGGCTAGCTAGACTAGTTATCGGGATTCAACTCTACTCATTTTGATATTAAGAGGAGATGCTAATTTAAGCTAGCAAAAACACTATATTAAATCTACTAACCAGAAAAACTAACAGCTGACTCCTTTTTGTCTTTTACTACCTGACACTGATTAAGAGAAATCCGCATGTGACTCAATGCTGCCAGTCCCACGAAGCCTCAACACAATTTAAACTGATGTGTTTTTAAAAATAAATTCACTCTGTGCAGTGGTCACAAACAGGTGGATTTACTATAGAAACAGAAAAACAGACAGCCTGAAGAGACACGTTTCGGCTGTAAAGTTGAGTATTTTAACCTGGGATTCTGTGGGGGTGGAGTGGCTTTTAGAGATATCCTGAAGTGCCCATTTGAGGAAATGACAACTTAATTTTTCTGCCCTGGAGTTTGATGTTGGCTTAAGATATGGCGTAACATACAGATCATCCTTGAGGGCTGTTCATACATCACAGCATCCAAATTTCTGACTCAAAAGGGCTGTTTTACTATCGTTGCAGTCATTAGAGTTCAGCGTTTAGTGCATTTTAGCCAGGTCTTAGCTTTAGATGGAGAATTGAAGGTGAAATCCAAAACAAAAGACTAGAATCTACAGTATGGGCTTGTGTAAATGTGTGGGTCCGACACACTATGGACCGCAGCAAAATACATGTAATACCAGCAAACATTTTGTTCTCCCTGTTTTCCAGGAATGTGGGAACGAACTGCACTGTGCTGTGCTTGTACTGTAGCTCACTACTCAAGGCATCAATATGCTTCCACTGAAGTGCTCTTCAGATGGCTGAACAGCATGTGAAAGCCCACTTACTCCCCGATGTCAGCACTGAGGGGGGGCTGCATCCAACATTTTCTTTATTTTCCTAAAGCGACAGTCACAAGAACACCCATTTCATACAACTGATGATCAGCTGTAGATTTGTTTTTATTTTTTCCCCAGAGGCTTTATCCCCCTTCTTGACACAATTACTTATGTCACTTTCTGTTTCTATAACCATTTGCAATGTTTTGGATGCCTTTGAGGAAGGATTGTTCATGAGTGTGTTATGCATGTTTGCATGGTTCATTGCATTTCACTCCTCTGTGAAGGCACAGTTTTCACAATGCATTTGACTGTGCCTTGTGGGACAGAAGCACTTTTGGTGCCAGTTGGAGGTGGTTGGAGGGCCCTTGGAATTAAAGAAAGGATAACAAAATGATCAGTATGTGCTCAGAACAAGCTACTAAAATATATTGCAATCAGAATAACAAAGCATTGACAACAGTCAAGTTATTTGTACCAAGCAGTGGCATCTTTCTAATCTATATTTTGTCTCTGAAAGTATTTTTTAATTCACATTTTGATTTCCAACAAGTACTTTGAATCTGTCTCCCCACATTCTTCAGCTTGTATCCATTATTAAGTTCTTGAGGTGTCCTATGATCCCTCTCATCTCAGCCACTCCACTTAATTATTCCTCACTCTTGGAACGTTATAGAGGAGTATTTCAACCACCTGCACTCGCCTTTTGAAATGAGAACCTCCAGTGGAAATTTTAACCCTCCTGAGTCCAGTCCTTTTAAAGCACTATCATTAAAGAGAAGGCAGACTGTTTTTTATTACTTTTTTGCTTCTAGCGGCAGTGCTCTTTCAGTCTTAGGTTTCTGCATAGTTGCCTTGAAACACTAAAAATGGATGGTCTGCTTTCAAATGGAGTTTTTTTTATTTTTTATTTTTTATATTTATTTATTTTTAACCACAAGCTTTGAAACTGTGTAATAGTGTAGTAGATACCGATGTGTTCTTTTTACTGAACCCAGCGATCACAGTGGCTTGAAATTTAATTGATTTACAGAGTCATGTCTATTTTAATACAGTGTCACCTGAAGATCACTCAGTGTCTGCATTCTTTAAATCGGGGAGTGTCAAACATACGGTCTGGGGCCCAGAATTGGCCCGCCAAAGACTTTGGAAAATGTGAAAAGGGGCATACATTTTGGACTTTTAACTAGTTTTAAAGTTTTTACATTTTTACATCTTACCGTACTGATTTAAAAACCTCTGGGTCATTCATACTACACCAAAATATTAAGTAATAGATGAACATTTAAATGACAGTTTGTGATTTTTTGCAATCTACAAATAGAAGGTTGTGGGGATAGGTTAATTGGTTAATCCAAATTGTCACTAGGTGAGAGTGTGAATGGTTGTCTGTCCCTGTGTGTTAGCCCTGCGACAGACCTGCGACCTGTCCAGGGTGTACCCTGCCTTTCGCCCTATGACAGCTGGGATAGGCTCCAGCGCCCCCCGCGACCCTGAAAAGGATAAGCGGAAGCGAATGGATGGATGGATGGATCTACAAATAGAAGGGGTTTTTGTGTGTGGGTTTTTTGTTTTTTTTGTTGTTGTTGTTGTTTGTTGAAAGTGTCAAACAACTTCTTCAGTTCTTTGTCAGCTCTGTTCCAATTTTTCCGAAATTCATACAAATCAAAATGAAATTTTTTTACATAATAATCTTCGGGGAGATCGTGGCTCAAGAGTTGGCAGTTCGTCTTGTAATCGGAAGGTTGCCGGTTCGAGCCCCGGCTCGGACAGTCTCAGCCGTTGTGTCCTTGGGCAAGACACTTCACCCGTTGCCTACTGGTGGTGGTCAGAGGGCCCGGTGGCGCCAGTGTCCGGTAGCCTCGCCTCTGTCAGCGCGCCCCAGGGTAACTGTGGCTACAATGTAGCTTGCCATCACCAGTGTGTGAATGGGTGAATGACTGAATGTAGTGTAAAGCGCTTTGGGGTCCTTAGGGACTAAGTAAAGCGCTATACAAATACAGGCCATCAATTTTGGTTTTATTTCATGTGTTTTCGTTGTACTGTTTTTATTTCAGCGTGGGGTTCAAATTATTTGCAAAAGGTTAGGGTTTTTTTCTCTTCTTTTTCTCCTCTGTTAAAAGCTGTGAAAGCTGAAAATCCACTTCTTGTCTTACTGAGTCAGGCTATGTTTCCAGGTAACAGCAGGACTGTCATCGGAATCATAAAGGTGTGTCTGTGGATGTCATTGAGAGGAGGAGCATTTGTATTTAGTCTGCGGTCATTCAAGTTTAACAGGCGCCTTGATCCTGCTCCTCATGCTGATGCTCTTCTGAATCACAAGGGCGGTGTGCAGCTCATGGCTGAGAGGCAGATTACTTCACTCCCACGGATAGATGACATGATTTTGAACTTTTCTCCATCACATTTATTGCTGACTTGGGTTTTATACATTTTTTTTTTTTTTTTTTGTAAGTCGAGTGTGGTTTCACCTTTTCACTTAAAAATGATTAAACTATAATGAGGCTGTAAGAGATTGAAAATGGAGAGAGAACTGCTTGAGTATAATGACAGAGACGTGGCAGTAAAACTGGGCTGGACAAAAGCTTAACTTGAATCAGCTTGTGAATACTTTCTAAAAGTGGACACTGAAATGAGTCAGAGACGGGCTCAGCAGAGCTTTTATCTACTTATAATTCCCGTAATGAGTGGAATCCATTTTACCGATGTTTCCCAGTACAGTCGTTTGCCGATAAATCCTGAGAATCCCCATTAGTTTACAGGTTTAATATCGGTGTTTTATGGATAACGTGCTACCATTCAAGCTAAGCGAAGTAATACAAAGCAGTTTTCTTTGATTATAAAAGATGACTCATGATGATGGCAAATGTATGCAAAATCATAATTAGGAATTAATCCAACTGATGTTTAATTCAGTGCCTTGTGCTGTGCAATATATAAACTGTTCAACAAAACAAAAACTGCTTTTGGATGTGGGTAATTGCAAATGTGACATGATAATAACATACTAAGAAAATGGGCAAGCATTATGTGCATTATCAGAGTGACATGTTGCCATTAGCACTGTGCATGTTTAGTGTAAAAACAATGTTTTGACAATGTGATCACTTGGTTAGATTAACATTGCATCCAGTAGTAGGCAGCTGGTGTGAGAAAAGTCAATTATCTGACTGTGGTGCACTAGAAAAATCTTTCTCTAAACACATAAAAGTGCACAGTCCAAACATCTAGTGTGTTACTGACACCTATGAGAGGGAAGGGGGGTGTTAATGTGCTAATGGCTTTGGGTTGCCATGAGAATTAAGGGTTTGTGTTACATTATCACCTGCCTGTCCACACTAAGACTCTCAGGACTCTGCATTTCTGAACACAAAGCACACGGTCTCTGCAGACTTTATGTGATAAAGCTTTTATTCACCCTATAGCTCTGTTTGTGTGTGTTGTGTGTGAGAGAGATTTGGCTCGTTTATCAGTGGATGTTATCTTGAGCTGTAGTTCCATGTTGTGTCTTATCTCAATCGCCCTCTAATATCGTCCCTCTGCTCTGTCTTCTGCTCTTCAGGGAGCAGCCGATCTACACCACCAGGGCCCATGTCTTCCAAATCGACCCAACTACCAAGAAGAACTGGGTTCCTGCCAGCAAGCAGGCTGTCACTGTCTCCTATTTTTATGACAGCACGCGTAACAGCTACCGCATTATCAGTGTCGATGGAACCAAGGTATGTGTGTGCATATTCTGTATCTTTGTGTAACAATATCAATATCAATAACTGCCCTCGGGAGACATGGAACGAGAGAAACACTTAATAGTATTGAACAAAAGGTGCTGCCAAGCATGAGAGTATTGCATTTGCTGCTCTCACTGATTAGCGTTAGTCCAACATGGCAATGTTTAAGGTTTCCTGCAACTCCTCTGCGTTTGTCTGAATAATTTGATATTAAATTTATTGCACAATGACAAAGAAAAAGATGACATCAGCTCTATTTGAGGTCACAATATTTAGCAGTTAGAATTGTTGTATGATTAACTCTTTACACCTTGAAAGCCTACTTACTGGGAGCAGCCCTAGTAACAGGAGGCTTGAGGTCAAACTTCATCTTTATGGGGAAAGCGTCAAAGTTTAGTCTACTCATGTAGTGCTAAGCTGAAATAACTGTCTAACCGGACTGGCTGACACCTGCAGTTAGGTCCATAAGTGTCAGACAGTGACACAGTTTTTCTAGGTTTGTCTCTGTGCATCACCATGGTGGATTTTAATGATCAAATGATCAAGATGTGATTGAAGTACAGACTTTTAGCTTAAAAAAGGGGTTTGACAAAACCATTGCATTAGCTGTTCAGTAATTAGAGTCATTTTATGCACAGTCCCCCATTTTCAGAGTTTCAAAAGTAACAGTTGACTGACAAGTTGTTTCATGTCTTGTCAGGCTTGTTCACCATTTATTCCATGACAAATTAAGCATTCTGGAGTTGATTCAAGTATTGAACTTGCATTCAGTTCACTGGAACTGTCTATGTGAGAGTTGTTGATGCAACTGAAAGAAACCAGATTAGACCTCGCTGGAAGATCTCCAAACGTGTTGGCGTAATTCTGAAATAAAAAATCTTTAGACAGATGAAGACGCGTTTAACCCGTACCCGAATGATAGGAAGGGAAATCTATGAGGTAAGGAGAGAAACATGATCTGACGCACAACACTTATTCTGTCAAACACACTGTTATAGTATGGGCATGTATGGCTGCCAGTGGAACTGGTTCAGCAGTATTTATTAATTATCTGACTGCTGATAGAAGTAGCAGGATGAACTCTGTAGTGTACATGGCTGTACTCTCTGCTCAGATCAAAACTGATCCCACGGTGCTTCACAGTACACAAGGATAATGGCCCAAAGCATACAGTGAAAGCAACCCAAGAGTTTCTCAAGGGAAAGAAATTTGATATTTTTCAATGTGCACGTTGGTCACCTGATCTCAGACCATCAGAGCACACTTTGGAGTTACTGAAGACAAAACTGAAGGCAGAGACACCCACAAACAAGTGAGAGTCGAGACCTGGCAGAGCGCATACACAGCATGTGGTGACGAGCATGGGTTCTAGACTTCAGGTAATCATTGACTGCAAAGGATTTTCATCACCATGTTAAAGACTTTTCAAAGTTATTTTAGTTTGTCCAATTACTTTTGAGCCTGTGGAAATGAGGTCATGTAAAGGTTGGCTGTAGTTTAAATGTAATAAATAGACTACATTGAAACAGACTTTCTATACTGTCGCTGCATTTGGTACTGCTACAGTTTAAACTGTGTATACTTGTTATAGCAATGTTAATTGGAGACCTTAAAATTCAGAATTGCCCATTAAACAGTTGTACTTTCCATTAACTGTATAAACATACATCTAATAAAATATTTTTTAAAATTAATGCAGTGTTACAGTTCATAAAATAAAAATGTTCGTGTTGACTGTCCAATTAAGGGAGGAAAAAAAAGTGTGAGCTCTGCATTTTTATTTGCCAGCTGTTTCCATGGATTTAATGTATTTAAAAGCACACACAGCACATAAAAATATGAATATGGGACACACATTGATGATTTCTGTGCTTACCTAGGATCTTCTGCCTAGTTAAACTGTTTCCAGACATGGAGCTTTGCAAAACAAATATGTTAATCATAACATTAACTTGAATAACTGCCATGTAAGTTGAAATATTAGCAATCTTCCCCTCTAATAGATTAACAAGAGTATCAAAGAGCTGCCGACCTGTGGAGTCACAATTAAACTCAATTATCTGTAATTTCATGTCATCAACAAAAAGCCAACAGTCGTCATACTCTGAGGGTGGTAGAGTTTTTAAAGACTGGCCACACTGCAGGGGGAAAGTGTCAACTTTTGCTTGTGTTATAGAGATTTTTTTTTTTTGTAGTTGTGAGCATGGTGCTAAGATTAAATAATACAAGTGATGATGGACACCACTTGAATTTGTCTACATCCCATATTCACACAGTCTTCCTCTGCTTGCTGAAAAAGTACATTATGCGTTTCCATGGCGATCAGTTTTCTGTCTGTGTAGAAAGCTAGAGGAGCCTCAGGACAGCGATATTCCTCTGTTGACACTGTTAGGCAACCACATTTCAGAGTCTTAAATCACATAGTTTACCTGCAGAGCCACTTTAGGGTGGGTGTGTTGACAGATGTTTGGATTGGTTGATAGTTTCACTTCTCTGCTTCGGTGAAAGGATTGAGGAGTTAAGATTACCAGCAGGCGATGAGTGGCTTTCTCACAGGAAGTCAGCATATCGGTGTTGAGTTTTTTGCACAGCAAGCATGTCCTGCTGTCTTCTTAGTGCAAAGCATGTTTTTTTGTTGTTTTTGTTTTTTGTTTTTGTATGTTTTTGACCATCTGGCTCTACTGTAAAAAGCTTGTGTTCATTCTTAGAATTTTAACTCCCTTTTCTGGGCAGTTTAAGCCTTACAGCGCAATTTTAAGTAAAAGAAGCATCGGTTCTCTTCTCCAGCAAAGCATTGTTGAGTCAAGCTCTGCTAGCTTCAAAGCATTGAAAGCTTTCTTCCTACAGCTACAGAGGCAAGACTTTAATGTGTTATGTCATCAGCCAGCACTTATGGATCTGCAGGGATGACAACAGCTGACAATAGATTACTAAAGATAAACTATATCTACTACTTCATGTCTGTTTTATTTGTGAGAAAGATAATGGGACTATTATTTATTCATGTCTAAAAGCATCAATATTTTGTCCTCTATTTCCTCAAGGCCATGAGTGCTCTCTCTCTTCTCTCCCTCTCCTGTCATCTTTGTTGTTGTCCTCCTCCTCCTCCCTCCTCTGTAACCTTAACAGAACATTATGTGTCATAAAATCTCTGCAGGGAACCGCTGTACGCGAGGTACAGGGAAAAGGAATTTCTCAAATGTTATCGCAATTTAAAAGGAGCAGACTCCTGCTGATTTTAATTTTATCCTCCTATCCATTTAATTTAAGTGAGTCAAAGTGATGTCGATATGAGCAAAGTAACCAAAAGCGAAGAAACGTTGAGTCATGTCAAATAGATGTTAAATATAGTTTCTAGTTTGCACAGTTGCTGCAAGGGAGACAGGTCTGTCTAGAAGAATTCTGTGCTGTTGCACGCACTAACTATGACAGACCATCAGCTTGTATTCATCCACCTATGATGTCTGGGCAACTGGCTGATGATGATATGGCAAGTAGAGGAGCGCATCAGCACTTTTGACTGTCGCTCAGCCTGCATCGTGCTTCTCATGCAACGATGTACCAAGTGCTGTGACAACACAGTGAGGACACGTCTAGCTGTACTTTATAAATAATTCCCAGTATGATAACTTTGTGAGGTAATGCCTAAAACACTCAGCTCTTTTTAGATTTATCTTTCTGACACTTCATTAAGTATCTTCTTTTTTTATTTTTTATTTTTTTTATTTGGCACAGCCAGTTTCTAGCACTAACGTTAAAGCTCATGAGCTTATGAGTTTGGCTTGTAGGCTAAAAGACATGTCTCCGCCAGTAATAAGAATTCAAATGAGCTTTTTATTCATCAAATGCATATTTTAGGGACAATTTTTTGACTATTTTACACCTTGTGTAATTTAGTAATTTCATTGTATTCATTCACTTTGTCTGCTTATTACAATGTCTGTTAAGCCAGGGCAATCTTCATTGCATGGCATACCCTCCTTTCTCTTCGCTGTTCCTGTCAATCGTCACTTTTGACTGTTAAATACAAAACTGTCAAACAAATATATATTCTGTAGGGGTGCAACGATACACAAAATTC